GTGAGAACCTGGGGACTGCAGGAGTGGTGTGGATTCACCTTCCAGGTGTCCCCGAGTGCCCCACAGCAAGGAGACGTGGCCAGAGGGGAAGGTGGGCACACAGCCTGGGGCTCGCTGAGGAACGAGGGCTCTGTGGACATCTCTGAACACCAGCAGCAGCTTTGTCTTGCTGTGCAGTCTCCTTTTTACTCCTGATCAATCCACAGCCACCCACCCTCTCAGGAAGGGAATGGGAAATCAAAAATGAGGGGTGATGCAGGGTTAGTTCTCTTCCTTTGAACAGTGCTGTGTACAAGGGCTGGGATTAAAGCCAGCTGGAGTCACCGCATCCTCCCCTTCCTGCCTCCTTTCTACCTCTACAAGTTCATTTAAGCACAGATTGTGTGCACACAGGAAGACAAAAGCTTTTAACCTGGAACATCCTGAGAGTGAGAACTGTCAACACCGCTCAGGAAAATAAAAAAAATAATATATGTGGAAGTGCTGCACCTGACACAGAGCTCTGAAAGCAACCCCCAAATGATGGGATGGGAATAATGGAGCGGGGCAAAGCAGGTGGGTGGCAGGATAGACACCCAGATAAACTGATAAACCAGGCCCTGTGTCTCCAGCTGCAGTAGGGCAATTAGCTCTCAGAGAAACAAAAAGCAGCAATTCAAATTATCTTGGAGAATGGGAGTTCCTGTCAATAGAAAGAGCTGATTCTGGGATTCAGTGGAGCACAGGGAGGTCTGGCATGAATTCCTCACCTCGTTGAGGACAGCCCAGCTCCCTCTGGAGCCACGTTCATCGCTCTGAGCTCGGCACTCCCTGGGCATCACCAGCTCTCCCAAAATTGATTGACATCGCCCATCTGGGCCAGGGTTTCAAAGGAATGCTGCCTCCTTGGAGACAGGGAGCAGATTGCTTGTCACAGCACTCCTGGAGGGGATGGGGAGGCTTTGAAAACCTGACCACAAGTGACACAAGGGAAGCAGCTGGTGGCTGGGCATTTACAAACAGGATCCTAACCCTTGCAAAAACCTGGATTAGGCACTGGAGGGGGTCTGCAATCAACATCATCTCTTGATTTGGGATTTTGGGGCTTTTTTTTCACATGTCACTACAAAGAAATTTCTCTGCATTCAGTTTTTGACACCAGAACCTCCATGCCCCCCTCACTGACAGCAGAGAGGCTCTGCTCTCACCCTCATCCCAGTGAAAATAACAGAGCTGCTTGCAAGAAAAGCTCCATGATTTCACCCATTCGCAACGCAGGGAACCCGTGGGTATCTCAGCTGAAGCCTTAACCCCACATAATGTAATTGTTCCTTTCCCCAAATTACTGGTTTACACAGAGGAAGGAAAATTTACACGGAGAGAAAAAATAGGAACAGGTTATTGGAGGTGGGAGGGAGAAGGGAAGACAAGCTAGGCACGGAACAGGCCAGCTATTTTTCCTCCTTTCTTTCACAAATCCCTGCCAATATGCTCGCTGTGCCATCTGGCACCCGTGATAAATTTGCCTGTGTGTAATTGCAAGCTGCAATTTCTCTGTCTAGGTTCTCGTGTAGCCATTATCATTTTAATCGTTGAATACAGGAAAGGGAAATTTTCTTTTCTCGTGCTCTCCTGAAATGCAAAAAATCTCTTCAGTCACTCCCTGTCTCCCTCATTTCAGTTTGTTTCATTTGAGCAGCAAAGCCAAGGTGATGTGAGTTCCCTCCCCATCCTCCATGAATATTTCATGTAATTTCAAAACTATAATTTTAGTGAGACAGAGAACATAACATTAATCTATTTCTAAACAAATTCCCCACCATTACAATTCCCCATTTGTAAATGAGGCGAGAATTTTAAACTTTGAATTTACATTTCAACTTTTCTCCCTTTCTTTTGCTCCACGTTTTCTTTACCCATTTCATTTTGAGTGATGAACCTTCATCAAGCAGCTTCACTCCTATTTCTAACTATTTAAGCTGCTTTCTGCTATTCATGTTTTATTTTTGCATTTCTGGCACGTGAGACTTTCTTTCCTCGGTGAAGTAAAGCAGAAGCAGGGATTCAAAGGGGGCCTCACCAAATCCTTTTCCATATGGATGCCTGCTGAGATGATTTTCCTTCCTAGAATTAAAATAAAGATTTTATTAACCATTAGGTCAGGTGAAAGAGGCAGATGGGATGCAATTTAGGGGTTTTTGTGCCCTGGAGAAGAGCTGGGCCTCACAAAGCTCATGCACACCCAACAGCTGCCTGGGGATGCTCCATTTCCCAGCTCAATCCCCCTGAGCTCAGCCCCAGGAGCTGCCTGTCCCATCCCAGCACACCTCCAGCGGATGCTGGTGGGCAGATCAGATCTGCACCACCTGCCAGTCTGTGCCATGCCAAAAAAATCCTCCCTGAGCCAGCTCTGGCTGCCTTCCAGGACTGGTGGGCAGAAGGGCAGGACAGTGGGACAGAGCACAGCCAGGGGAGAGCTCTTGTGCTGTCCCACTGACCCCCTTCCCTTGGGAATTCCCTGCCCAAATGCACAGCCAGGGATGCTGCCCTGTCCCACGGTGCCTTTGCTCCTCTCTGGGTGTGGAGATGAAGCAGGGCTGCTCCCAGGCTGTTCCTTGGTGCTGCCACCAAGCAGCAGGGACAAGGAGCAGAGCAGGGGAACAGGGAAAATTCAGCCTGGACACGCAGAGCTACCCCAGAGGATGAACTTCTCTGCTGTGCAGTGACCAAGCACTGGAACAGGCACCATAGAGGGGAGGGGATCTCCTCCCTGGGGGTATCCCAGAGCCCTCTGGGCACTCTGCTGTGCTCTGGGATGGCCCTGCTGGAGCAGGGAGGTGACACCAGGGACCCTCTGGGGTCCCTCCCAGCCTGGCCCAGCCTGGGATTCTGAGTGGGCTGCAGAGTGTGTGGGGCAGAAGCTGTGTGTAGACTAAAAAGAACAATTAAATGTATTTAGTGCAAATAACAGGATATCCTGGGAGGAGGGAGGTGTGAGTGACGGGTCTGTAACCACTGGGCTGCTGCTGTGCCACAAACCCTGCCCCACCAGCAGCCTCCCACCTCTGCCTGCCTGGGCTCATCTGCCTGCTCCTTGGGCTATTCCAGCTGAGCTCATTTAAATAGTAGATCCCAGCTAAATTAATGTGTTTTAATTGAAGGTCATTAAGCAGTGACCACACCAGCAGCTCAGCCACCACCAAAGGGCAGTGGGGAGCAGGTGGCAGATGGTGGGGACACTTTCCAGCCTTCACAGGCAGTGCCAGAAGAAGACCTGTGTCCAACAGTGTCAGTCCCAGCTGCTCAGGGAGGTGCTTCAGATCCAGGGCTGCTTTTACTCAAATCCTTCCCTCAATACCTGACTGCATCAAGCCTTTCCTGCTTTCTCAGTGTTAATGTGCACAGAAACAAACACTAAATGCTTTCCTGTGAATTAGTTTTGGTGTTGAGGAGGAAAAAACCTGGGAAGGGTTGAATTTTCCAGGGAAAGTGAGGCCTGGAGAAGGTGAGGAGGAAAAGAGAGAGAAAAAGGTGTGAGAATTGTGTGAGTACAGCTGTGCAAAGGCCTGGGCAGTGCAGGGGGCTCCCACTCCTCTGTGGAACCTGTTTGAAGTGGAAGCATCTCCCCTGCTCCTGATGTCTCCCAGCAAACCCTGAGCCTCGGAGAACACGCTCAGAAATCATCACACAACCTCTGTGGGGGAAAAGTCAGTATCTAGTTCAAGCAGTGTCACTGTCTCCTTGCTGATAAAGCAGCCACAGAAGTCAGGAATGGTTTAACAACCTCCTTTCTCACAAGTTCCCAACCATCAAATTTCAAGGGTTGCTCCTTTGATCTCAGAAGCACCAGAAAGATGTTTCCCTTTTTTTTTTTTTTTTTTCCCTTCCTTTCCCAATTTTAATTTAAATTTCACTCGCATGCTCAGGCTCAGTACCTGATCCTGCATAGCCCAGAAGACTTTTGCTGCTCTGGTTAGGTTTTGTGCCTCGTCCCTAATTATTTGGGTCTTGCAGAAGAGGGAAAGGAAAGATGGGAAGGAAGTTTGAGCATCTCACTAAGTGAAAAGGAGAAAGCTCAGAGGGGAAAAAAAGAAAATGGTACAGTTTGTAATTGTTTTTGTTCTTCAATCACTCAGGAAATAAATTGCTGTAGGGGGAAAAAAAAAGAGAAAAAGAGTCTTTGAACCTCCAAAGCAGAAGAGAGCCAATAAAGGCACTGCACTGCTTTGAGAAACAGCCCCTTTTCCTCAGCCTATTTCCACTCTTTCTCATTAGTTCACATAACTCTCAGAACTCTAATTCAGTTCTTGAGGATTATTTCCCTTCAAGCAGCTGCTGAGAAAACAGAAATAATCTCTGTGTTGCCGATGGATCCCGTGATTGCTGCTGCCAAGCAAACTCCTCCCGTGGGGAGTGCCAGGGCCAGCCCCAGGGGCTGCTTGGTGTGCAGGAGAACAGAGGGAATGAGCACAGGAAACCTGGTTTGGGCTCAGTTTTGTGGCAGGGGTTTATTTAATTTCCAATTGGAGATTTCAGGGAGAATCCGTCCCTGGCTGAGAGCGAGGAACGGCTCTGCCGGCAGCGCTGGGAAAGGTTTCTGGAGGGAGAGGATGGATCCCAAGCAATTGGGGGTTCCCTTCTATTCCCCCCCCATCTTTGAACGGCATCTCAACAACTGTGAGTGGCATTTGGCTATCTGGGAATGGCCATTTCCTAGTGGCTCCTTCCCAATCCTCCTTGATCCCTTGGGAAGCAGGGAGAGATCACCTGCTGGGCTGGAGCTACCTCCCAACCCAGGAGCTCGCTTAATGCAAAGCAGGAGAAAAGTAGGGATTTAAAACACCCCTTTTAAGCCTTTTTCTTTCTCTTCTGAACCTGAAAACTGACTCAAAAAGGGTTTTCTTGTAGCCCAGCACAGAGCAATGAGAATGATGGCAACTGCAGTGGGTTTCTCTCCTCATATGACTGCAGCACGTTTTGTGGGAAGAGACAGAGAAAACCATAAAGCAAACCCATTTTCTTCCAGTTTATTGCTGGTCTGTATAGAAATCCTCAATCCTGGCAGCAGCACAGAAGAAATGAGGTGATTTATATATTTATATAAGAAATGAGGGGATTTGTTCAATAGTTGTTTTTAATTCAAGGGGACACGGCCCATGGTGGGACCCAGCCACGGTTTTCCTTAGCCAGGCTCTGCCTGCCTCAGTTCCAGCACCTGTGGAAAAGAAGCAGAGGGGAAAACACGATGGTTTGGGTTAGCAGAGGCATGGATAAAGCCTTTGGAGCAGGAAAAGTGCTGCTCATGGATTTCCTCTTACACCTGCTGGGCTCTCCATGCGCAGGAACCCCCTGGCACCACCCGGGACATGGGACTAAAATCTTGTGTTCCATGGGGGCATTGGAATCTCTGCAGGCTCTTTTTTACTTTTCCACCCCCTTTTCTTGCCTTCTCCCTGGTGAGATCATCCAAACCCAAGCCACATGGAAAGATCTCGTGGCTGTGCAAATGCCAAGAGCTTTTTATCCCGCTCTTGCCAGCCCTTCACGGGCTTGCTGGTGCCCCAGTGCATTTTGTGAAGCTGTTTCCAGCTCTTTTCTGGCTGGAAAGACAAATTATCACACAAGACAAATTATCAAGGATCCAAAATAGCACAAAAGGTGACACTTGATATTCATTAGCCAGCCAGATATTTCATCATGATCCCACATATCTTCTACCTATTTAAGGAAGCAGAAACACACACGTTCATATTCCCAAGCTTTTCCAGGCTTTTCGGGTCATAACCCGATGACCAGAACATCCAAGAACTGGAATATCTTCCTCTTCCCTCCCTTCCACAGTCCATTCATCCCCCTTCTTCCCAAAAAGATAAAAATAACGCACCATGTGAGCTGCCATTTGCTGTGAGGTTTCCAGCAGCTCTGGGATGTGTGGAAGGCAGCCAGGTAGCCTAGCAACAGGGTGCAGATATTTGAGGCTGGTCCAGACGAAAAAAAAAAAAGGATTGATTTTCCTGGGGGTGGGGGCAGCAGGACAGGCAGAGCTCTCCATCCATGCCCAAAAATCAGGATTTACCCAGGGTTGCTGCTGCATTTCTGTCTCCGTCCTGCAGCCAGTTTTCTGTGGAACAGAGGGATTTTCAGCTTGTTCTGGTGAATTTTGGGGTGCTGGTGTGCCACTGGCACTTGAGGGGTGGGAAGCAAGACCTGGGAGGTGTCAGGACTGGGGAGGAGAGGGTTAAACCGGCAGAGAAGTGCCTGTGTTGTCACAGCACCTTGTCATGGGTGCTGTGTGCTCTGTGTCACCGGGACACTTTGTCTCTAATCCCCACACACACAGAGCAAAGGTTCAGCGATGACCAGAGGGAACCTCCTGCGATTTATGGTCTTTGCAGGATGGAAAAAATCTCCGTGGGGCTTTTGCTGGAAGCTTCGGTGGTGTTTCATCCTTGCCTGGCTCCCTGGTGGGGCTGCTCTTCCAGCTCCTCCCTGCCCCTCAAACCCCTCCTGGCCTTTCCAAATCTCTGCTCTTCCACCCTGCCCTGCTCCCCTCAGCCTGGGCAGGGGAGGAAGGCAGGAGCTCTTCCTCTGACCCCCTCACCTGGACTCAGCTGCTTCATCTCCCCAGGTCTCTCCCTTTTGCCATTTTTTGAAGGAGAAACCATGAAATATCCCTCATTTCCTGAGACATCCCGTGAGCCAGGCATGAGAAGCACCTCTCAAAATGCAGAGTGTGATTTATTTAACAGCTTCTCCACCCCAGTCTCAGCCTCTTCATTACCGGGACTGACAACCCTGCTGGATGCAATTCCTGACACGAGCCTGGCAGGGAGAGCAAAGCCTGGCCTCGGGGGAGGAATTCTGGCACATCAGAAGAGGGTTCAGAGTGTTCCAAGGAGGCACCTTTGTCCCAGGCTGTGGATGTGCAGCCAGCAGAGCTGGGCTGGTGGTGCCAGAGCCCTTCCCTTGCACTGCACAGACCACAGGAGGGACATGGACAAACAGCACAAACCATGACACGGCCCAGCATTCCAAACCAAGCAGTTTGATCCCTTTTCTAGACAGATTGGGCCGTTTATTTATGTTTGCTGTCAATTAAAACAGCCTGGCTGAGGGGAAGGCTCCACCAGCAGGATCAGTAAGGGGCTTTTTCCCTCCTGTCCTCACTGTGACCAGTTTCACTCTCATCTAAATGCAAACCAGCCTGTGAATGAGGCTAAAATAAAAAGGCCAAGAGGAGTCCATGGACGAGGCACAGGTGGCTGGTTCCCTAATGCCAGTGCTATTAATAACCCTCCCCATCAGGCACTTTGGAGCTGAATCCCAGTGAACAGGATGAGCAGTCTTTTAAATGATCTATATACTCCCCACCGGGGACTCCCTGGCATTGATCTGGAAAGATGGGCATTTCATTTCCATAATTTGTCTCAGGTTTCCCTCCAAGTTCTCTAGATGTGTTTGCAGGCAGCTCTCATCCGTATTCCAAAATGCTCTTTGGGCTGGAGAGCAGAATTTGAAGCAGGTTTATATTTGTGTGTGCACGTGTTGTGTGAGCGGCTTCAGCCCAAATCTCTCCGTGCAGGCTGCTGCTTCAGAGATAAGTACAAACTGCATCTGGAGAAATTCCTTTTCTCCACATTACTTGTTCCTACAGCAGAGCAGGCCCTTGTGGACAGGTGACATCCCCTGGGACAAGTGAGTGACACAGAGACTCATCTGCTCTTCTCTCCTGTCTCCTCAACTCCTCTCTGCCACTATTGAGTAAAAATGCTGCTGTTCTCCACGTAAATATCCAGTTCTGTGCCCTCCTCTTGTGAGCAAACTCACCTCTTCTGACCTGTGGAATGGCCTCACATATTTCATAAGAAGAGCCCAAAAAAGCACTGAAGCAAACAACCCTTCAATCTGTTTCACCCTGATTTCACATCAGATTTTAGGTCTGAAATGTCATCAAGTTAAGCATATAATGGTAAAACCAGGTCCCAAGGCAGCAAAGCATTTAAGCATGAGCTCTCATTTAAGCATATGAGGAATCTCACAGGCTGTGTGCAGAAATGGAGTTTTGGTGAGGGAAAATTATATTGTTCTTGCCAGACTGGGGAGTTGGTAACCCAGAATGTTGGTGTGTGAACCAGTCAGGGTAATTCAGGCATAAATCATCACCTTTAAACCTTTATAGGGGATATTATTCAAGCATATGACTGTAATAGCACTTTGCTCCTGCCAATAGGTCTGAAAGTGCCCAAAATCCAGGTGTTTTATCTTTTACTCTTTGTGCCAACATCAACACCCAGTGTTGTCCTCTCTCCATCCCTTTCTACCTGCTGGCAGCAGATCCCTGAGTAAATTTGCACCTTGATTCCCAGGGGATGGAGACTGGAATGAATTTCAGTGCTTTGACTTTTCCAGATTTATTGCTCCATCTGGAGAGTCCCTGCAAGGCTGGCCTGGCAGTTTGGTTCAGTCAGGGAAGATTTTGAGGCTGTCTGCCTCAGCCCTCCCCAAAAAGGAGGACAGAGCTGCCTGGGTGGCCCAGGAGGGATTTTCCTGACCATTTTCTACATCAGTAATATCTCCTGGAGCTGTGAGAAACCCCAGTGGTTCCTTCTGTGAGGAGTCTGCAGAGCTGTGCCCCAGGGAGCTCCTGTCCTCACCTCACCCCAGCACAAAGGGACATCACCTGGGGGCTGTGACATTCCCACCACGCCAGATTTGCTGTCTGGCTGTGTTTCCTAAACCCTTTTGAGCAGTGCTGCTTCTCCCTCCTCCTGTCTGAGCCCTTCAGTCACCCCGTGGCCAGCTCAGGTCCCTGGCACTCCCTGGCCACCAGCTGCAAAGGAAGGCACCAGCTTTGCTCCTCTGCAAGGGATTCAGCTGCTTCCAGGAGAATCCCAAATCCATGAGCTGCTGCCTTTTGTTCTGCTCCACTTCGTGCACGTGTCTTTTTGTAGGGCTTTACATATTAAAAAATCAAACAAACAAAAAAAAACCCCAAGAAAATAAAACAAAAACCACAAAAAAATGCAGAAAAAACCCCAAGAAAACAAAAAAAAACCAAACAAAAAAGACCAAAAAAAAAATCCCAACAAGAAACAAACAAAAACCCTCACAAAAATCTCCAAAAAAACTCAACAAAAAAGACAATAAACCACCTACAAAAATCAACAAAAAACAACCCCCCACAAAAAACCAAATCAAACCAAACCAAAAAACCACAAAAACCAACAAAAACCCAAACAAACAAAAAAAAAACAACAAAAAAATCCCCAACATCCCCTAAAAAGAAACGGCAGGGGAGGGAGAGGAAAAGATGCAGATTGCTCTGCTGTTGCCTGGAATTCTCTCTCGACTTTCTGGAGGGTGGAGTGGAGGCAGCAGTGGATTCTGAGGGGTGCAGCCCTCACCCTGCCATGAGTCAGATGTTAATAATTATTTAGCAGTTGTGTGTGCAGAGAAAAGATTTTTGAAGGGGGGGGCAGGTGGAAATGGAATTTACATGCATCACTACAGTGGCCTTTAAAAGTCTTAGCATGAAAAATGCATGGCTGGCCATGCATTATTTATTCAGCAATGAATAGAATTTCCCCGAGATCAGACTGGCAGGTCAAGACTGACAAATTTGGCAGAAGGAAGCCTGGTGTGTGTCAGCCCAGCAGCACACGTGGAGGGAATGGGCCTTCAGGAAGGCACTGCTGCAAAAACCTGGCTGTGGAAGGATGGGCAGGGTTCATCCCATGCAGAATTCCCTGTGTTTAGCAGCAGAGAGTTTTGTTTTTCCATTCATCGTGGATTCCTGTTGGAATTGCTCCCTTTTTCCACAATGAAAAGCTTTTTGCTGCTGATATCTGTGGCAGAATCTCGTTGCTTTGATCTATTTGTTTCAGCTTTTCTTGTGTTTACTCTGCCATCAGCTTGAATACAACCTTGAGGCTCTCAGCTGACAAATGCCCCCAAAATTCTCTCCCCATCTCTCTCATTTTGCCTTGCCAATTGTAATTCCCGTTTGAAAATAATTTTGTGCAGTCTCTAGCCCAGCTGCCTCCAGAATACCAATGAAGTACATCCGAGGCAGCAGCTCCTGGTTTTGCTGCCTGCCCTGATCCTGATTTGGAGACTCTTCCAAATACTTGTTCCCCTCCCCACATGCTCAGGAATGCTCCCATCCCTCCTGGAATGCCAGGGCCACTCCAGCCCAAGCTTCCACGAAGGGGGAAAGAGCTGGACCTTGGAATGAGGGGATGGTTTTGGAGCTGGATGCTCCAGCCCAGCACTGCCAAACCCCCTCAGTGAATAACTGGGAGAACATGCGGCCACTCTGTGAGCCATCACTCTGGAAAGACCCATCAGAAATGCTGGGAATTCTCTCCCAGCTCAGTTTTTCACTCAACTTAGCAGCTGGTTATGAGCAAGCACTTTTGACTTGTGTGAGGGTCTCATTACAGAGTCATTTTTTAACCCTTTTTCCTTTGAGCTCTGCTGGGGAGACCCTTGATGTAGGAGAGCTCAGCTACAGCTTTGGAAGTCAAACAAACAGGGAGGAGGGAGGATCAGATCTGCAGTCACGGTATTTCCTCGCCTGCCTAGGGCTTTGAGGGAGAATTTCTCCTCTTGGGGCTGCTCCAGGGAGTTTGTCCCAGCAGGAACCCACTGGACAGGACAGACAGACCTTGCCACCCCAGCAGGACCCAGTGGAGGAAAATGGGGATGGAAGGGCATGACTTGGATAGAAAACATCCCAGTTTCCATGGCCAGCAGGGCAGAGAAGCTGAAAAGGCAGGTGGGGAGTGAAAGGGAGATAAGGAAATCTGGGGGATGAAGGGCTGAAAATGCTGCTTGGAGCAGGGGGATGCTGTCCATGGGGACAGCGGGCTCGGGGACACAGGAGGGGACAACAAACATCCTGTGTCCCCTCCTTTGTGCACAGGGATCTGCATCATGAGCCCCAGCTCTGCTCTCCAAAAGGAAATGAGAAATGAGCCTGTGTGGAGCACAAGAGTTTATTAGCTTGGCACACTGTTATTCCTGTGCAAGGCCAGTGAAATTTTCCCCACCACCTCCTCTCTCACAAGTGCCATAAGTGCATAATAGACATCCTACAAGTAGAGAAGCATCTCAGTAGCAATCTACTCTGGAGCTTGCTTGAAAATTGCTGTTTGCTGTAACGGTGCCCAGGGGAGCACTGCTCTCTAATATTTGTTTAAAGCAGACTGGTAAAAGTAAAGTAATGC